GGGGAAACAATTTCGGTGGGAGCGGAATAGGTATGGGGAGGGGGGAAACGAATTGGCGGAAGCACATTCGATGACTTCGGTATACATTTGCCAAATCTCGAGGGTTCAAATGTTTCACCTGCTGAGCGAACACTACCCCCAGATATTCCTAAATCACTGAGTAACCCCGAGGTCAAAGGTTAACCTTTGACAGAAATCCAATTGAATGTGCACCCTGGTTGTAAGCGAGCGAGCGAGCGAGCGGGCGAGGTGTGTTGTTCGCGCGCGAAAGCGCGAAACAGTGGTAGTTGGTGGCGAGAAGCAAATAGTTGTAGCGTTACTGTAACTGGACGAGCTGTCGAGACGCTGGAAGCATAACGCTGTACGCGGTAGCAGGCTGACGCGAAGCAAGTGTTATTCGTTACGCCCTGGAACGAGCAAATGAGGTTTGCACTAAAGGGTCAAGAAAATAGTACCATATGAAGACACTGAATACGAAAAAAATAGTAAAAGGTAACATGCAAAAAATAATATATGCAACGCTGGAATCAGGTTTGAAATAGTTTTTATAGAGAAGAAAAATTAGGTGCGTGCGACTTAAGGACACTCTAAATCCTTTACACCTACATAACATTACGTCGATCTAGTATTAACAATAATCTTACTAAAACTTTGATAGCGAATATACTTGACTTCTCAATAGCGCGACGGGAGACTGGCAGTGGGTCAAAGCTGCATTCGCACCCCAGATTCTCGTCTCCTCCGCACCCAACGTCTTCGTGTCAAAAATTATTTCCTAGGATGAACGAGGCCTATATTACGAGCTCCGCTTCTCCTGTCTCGCTGCTATGTTGTGCGCCTCGCTTGAGAAGCTATCTGGCGGTGTTTTTACTCGCGCTTGCGTCGTAATCGCGTCGCAAGTGATTTTCTCCTAGGCGTTTAACGGCGATTTCATCTCAGCGACGTTATGACGGTCGCCGACGACGTAACCAGCAAGGCCGGAAATATTTCCAGCAATATGGTTGTTAACGGGTCTACTCTTAACGGAGACCCCTGGGGCCGCTATAACGAGTACGAGCACCAGTACAAGCCTTTCCAGTCCCGCAGCGCCCAGCTGAAGCAGACGGCTCGTGCGGTCATGGATGCGACGAGGAGCGCGGCGCGAGAGGCGTGGGGAAGAGGCGCAGAAGGATTCAGTGCGGTAGTTGACCGAGCCGTGGGCTGGGCGCGCGAAGGAGGCACGTGGCGGTGGATTGTTCTAGGAACTGTAAGCTGTTCTTTTCAACCTTTTCGAGTGATAATTGATTTAGTTATTCGACTCAGTCGCCTGCAAGGAGCCGTTCTTAATTGGTCAGCTGATGAAAGTTCTCCGTTTTGTTTCCCCAGGGATTGATTTACCTTCTGCCTTCGAATATCTTGTTCCTTTTAGTCCACCCTCGTTCCACAACGAACGCTCTCCTTTTTCCCCTCCTCCGTCTCCCTTTCTCAGTGCCCTTGCTCCTTCCACCGTTCCGCCTGAATATTGTCCTCTATTCTGTCTGCTCCCGTCTCCCTTACCCTCTCATCCCCATCGGTACCTCTCTCAACGGTTAACTTCCTCCCACCCCGCTCTCACTCCTCGCACCTCTTCCTCACTGCCTCTCTGTCCCTCTCTCTCTCTCCCTGCTTCTCCCCCGGACATCTCCTTGAATTCCCTCACAACAGACCTCAGCGTCTCTCCTCTCGCTGCTCGCCTGCACAGCCGTGTCCCTTATCGTCACCGTCGCTCTCACCACTGCTGCGCTAGTCGTCTGCTGCGCCTCTGCCATTGCCGCTGCTGCTCTCTTTCTCTTCCTCATGCTCTTTGGGGTTACTGCTGTGCTCTGTGTTGCTGCGTCTGCTGTGGCCTTCACTGCCATGGCTGTAGCTTCAGCAGCAATCACATGCATTCTCTTTGCTGCTGGTAAGGCTTTCTCTGCTTCTTGTTCTTCTTCCTGCTGTTGTTCATGTTTTTACTCTTGCTCCTGAATTTTTTCTCATCCTTGTTTGTGTTCGTGTCCTTGTTCCTCCCCAACAATCACCCCTGTGAGATTTCTAGTTATTGGCACGTTGTCTGCCTCCCACAGTCCACCTCTGTTCCCACATGCTCTTTTTGCCCTTCTCCTTTCCCCAGGAACGGCCCTGTCAGCATGTGCATGGTGGTGGGTGTTCACACACGTCACCTCTGCCCTGCGCTCTTCTGCTGCTGCCACCAAAAGCTACATCCTGCCAGCTCCCACACTGCCACCCACACTGGTGCCCGTGCACATGCTCTGAGGATTCCCCTGGTAGCTGGAGTCAGCTGCTTCATGTGCTGGCAGCAGCGGTGGGAGAAGAAAACAACGACACTTCGCCTCCACCTGCAGCAGCAGCAGCAGCAGCAGCAGCAGCAGCAGCTAGCGCAGCAGCAGCAGCAGAGCAGCAGCAGCAGCAACAGAGGCAGCAACAGAGGCAGCAACAGAGGCAGCAACAGTGGCAGCAGTGTCAGCAGCAGCAGCAGGAGCACTTGCAGAAATGCCATTGGCGGTTATCAGCCAATGTAGCACCAGCTACAGTAGCAGAGGGGAAGTTTTTTCCAATGTGGAACACATACAATACAAGTGGCTTGGTTCAATATGGCCATGCACTGATGTAGGGTAGCAACGGATATGTTTGCTGCTACGGTGGAGCTTTTTGTCTGCAAACCTTGGGTTAAAAGCATTGTTTCACTGTCTTGCTAGGGTCTTCTTTGTATATTACCGGTATATGTAGTGTCCTTATGTCGTGAATTGTGTTATGCTGATGACATATCCTAAACTGCTATCCAAGAAGGCGGCTTCAAAGCTGAGTTGAAAACTCTAAGCCTGTCAATCCGTAGCAGCAGTACACTGCTGCCAGCAGGCCAATTTCCTCCCTGTACGAGCTCCACATAGTATGTTATTGAATGCCAACGAATCTGCACTGCAACCCCTGGGAAAATCTTGCGAGGGAGCCCTCCGCAAGTGAGCTCTATTAAGGAACAAACAAGGAATGTCAACAAGTGGCAATAATTGGTGGGGAATTTCCTAAAGCTGTCAAGGCTAACAGGCGGACAGCTTGCTAGGCTCGTCAAGGGTCGGCTGGCTTAGCAGCCATGTCCAAACAGCGTCAGCTGGGACCTGAAATCGGAAGCAGTGGTTGTGACAGAGAATTGGGAATTAAATACTCTTGTTAATACTCTCGAAATTGGAACACATCATGTTGACGGATGGCGAGCAGCAGCAGCAGCATGGCAGAGACATAGGTGACAAGCATAACGACGGTTGGCAAGCAGAAGAACAGAGACATAGAGCCCATGGGACACCCACACACCCACTCACACACACCCATACAGCATAGCTTTGGGTTACCGCACACCACCACAGCCCACAACGACTCACTGACCAGCAGGCGGATGGCGAGCAGCAGCAGCACGGCAGAGACGTAGGTGACGCCCATGAAGATGGTTTCCAGCGACAGTGTTGGCGCCCAGCTTCGTGTTGTCCTTGTGCGGCACAAACGAGTTCTTGAGCGTGTTGGTCAGCTCAAACAGCCGCAGGGATACCTGCAGACGGGGGATGGGGAGAGGAGGGAGAGGGAGAGGGGGAGGGGAGGTGGAAGGAAGAGAACGTTTCAGTGTGCGGACATAACCAGTTGTTGAGTTGGATTATCGGTCAGCTGAAAGGGAAAGACATCATCAGAGAGAGATTGTCAGCTGAAACAGGCAAAGGGAGAAGAGAGAAGACAGAAGAAGGGATACGTGGGAAGTGAGAGGGGCACAGAAGGTAGAAGAGTGTGGTTAGTCAAGTTCCGGCCGGCGTGAATGCAGCAGGAACGAGTTTTAGAGGGGTTAGCTTATGGTTGAGGTCTAGCTAGGGTTGAAATCCCAGGTTGTGACGCAGTGAAGGGGACATGAGGGGAATGCACAATGCAGCGTGGTGAGAAATGGTTGGTGAGAGGGACTGAGTTGGGCACAAGGGTGAAGAGATGGGTGGTGGAGGGATGGACAGTGGTGATAGAAGAAAAGAATGCAGGATGCACGTGCAAAGGAGAAAGACAAACAGCCAGGCAGGCCAAGGAGATGCCTAGGTTCCAGGGGGCAGTGCGCAGTGCACAGGGGGCAGGGGGCAGAGAGCAGGGGGCAGGGGCAGAGAGCAGGATGCGGGTGCGTACGAGGATGTAGATGGCAGTGGAGAGCATGAAGTTGACGAGGGGGGTAGTCCCGCACAAAGCTCAGCAGCATGGCCGGCTGGCCGTTGGGCATGCCCGTCCTGGGAGGGGAAGAGAGGGAGAGGGGCGTGAGGGGAGTGAGGGGAGAAGAGGGAGAGGCAGGGGAGAGAGTGTGAAGGGACAAGTACCAGGACCATACAGCAATTTGCTGCAATATGGTATGGTACCATACATCATGACATGATACAAGAGAAGATGCAGTGCAGTGCAATGCGGTACGGTACGGTGCGGTACCTGAGCCAGATGTGGAACTGGCCAATGTAGGTCTCGAGAGTGATCTTGCCGAGCCAGCCAAAGAGAGCCAGAGACCAGTTGCGGAGAGGCTGTGTCAGATTGCGCAGCGCAATGTAGATGCTGCAGGGACGGGTGGGAGGAAAAGGGGATGGGGAAGGGTTGGTGGGGAGCGGGGCTCTTGAGAATTGTGGAAAGTGACTCAGATTTGTGAAGAGGCTGGGTCTGATTGCGCAGCTCAATGTAGATGCTGCAGGTACGGGCGGGTGGGTGGGGATAGGAGGTTGAGGGGACAGGGGAAATTAGAGGGGGAAGGGGAGCAGGGGCAAGGGCAAGGGCAGGGGCAGGGGCAGGGGCAGGGGCAGGGGAAGGGGAAGGGGCAGGGCAGGGGCAGGGGCAGGGGCAGGGGCAGGGGCAGGGGCAGGGCAGGGGCAGGGGCAGGGGCGGGGACAGGCCAGGGAGCAGGGGTGGGGGCGGGGGTGGGGAAAGGGGGGAGTGAGGTGGGGAGGGATAGTGAGGATGGGAGGATTTGATGTCTTAAACATGTGTGCGGGTGTTGTTGTGAACTGTGCCAGCCATGGGATTGGACGTGAGTTTTGAGACGTCTCAAAAGTCGATTTGATGTCTTAAACATGTGTGCAGGTGTTGTTGCGGAGAGAGAGAGAGAAGGAGAGAAGCATGTCTGTACCCCTGCTGAATCAATACAACGGACCATTTGAGAGAGAAGGGGCGGGAGAGGAAGGAGTGAGAGTGAGAGTGAGAGTGAGAGAGACTCACGTGATGGGGATCCAGGACGTGTATGGATGGATAGCATTGTAGGCGAATTTGTCCAAGCAGTAGACGTTCACATACCACACATAGCCCACCTGCTCAGTCATGCGCAACCATACATCCCATCATGCATGCACACAGCATTGCCATGAGCACGCGCACACAGACAACCATGCACAGACCCACAAGCAAAAGGCAACATGAGGAAGAAACGGAAATCTGTCAGCAGCAGCACGAGCAAAGTGCTCTGGAAAGTATCAGAACCAGCAGCAGCATGAGCAGTAGGGCTTCCCTGACAGTGTGGAACCTCTCTCCACTCTCCCTATCTCTCCCCCTCTCACACAGCGTTACACTCGCTCCACACTCTCTTTTGCCTTGAGGCAGCACTGGGCACATATCCCCGCCGCGTACCCGCCCACTCCTCCCATGTATACCAACATCTTCCAGTGTTCACATCTCTTGGTACGTCCTCTTGTTGATAAGGTGACTTTTGAGTCGACTAAGAAGTCACCTTGTACCAACATCTTCCAGCGTTTACATCTCCTGGTACGTCCTCTTGTTTATGCATGCGAATCGTCACACGTTCTCAGTTCAGAGCATTTACGGTTCATTCAATGTATCCACACTCAATTCCGTCATGTTTAGTGACCAGGCCAGTGTGTCAAACGTTGCAACATGCATGTCACACACTGCACACACACACATGATGCATGCCATGCCATGCCACAGCACAGCGCGGCATGGCATGGCATAGCATGGTATGTATGGCATGGCATCCCCACATACCGAGAGGCAGACAGCGACAATAGCGGCGCGGATGGCGTTGCGGGTCATGTGGTGCATCTCCTCGAGCTTCTCAAGCCAGCGCTCCACCATGGGGTGGAAGTAGGCGTAGATCATGCCAATGATCCAGATGTACCGGTCCAGCCCCGACCGGAAATGCCACTCGTGCAGCAGCGGCAGGTCCGGCTTGCGCGGGTCGATGTACCCTGGGGGGAGGGAGAGGGGATACGGGGGAATGGGGGCCGCGGAGGATGGGGGGAAGAAGGTTCGTTTTCAAGGGGACTGGGCATGAGGGGGACGGCAGCGGAGAGGGCTGAGGAGGAAGGTGGGTGGGGAGAGAATTGTAGGGAGTAGACGGCAAGAATGGAAGCGTGAGGCGAGGTACCTCGAGAGGGAGGGTATGGCCAGTAACCAAGGCCAAGGGGAGGGTGGGGAAAACGAAAGAGGAAGAGAGGGAGGGGTGGGAGGGCGGAGGCGGATAGCGGGGGGGTGGGAGGGAGGAAACTTGACAGGGGAAAGAATGCGAGGTAAAAGAGTTGCCTGTGACAGACCTCTGACGCCCCTCTCCCACCTTCCTCCCTTTCTTCCTTTTCTTCCCTCCCTGCTACACTCCATCCCCCTAATCACCCCTCCTTTCCCACAATTCTTCTCCACACCCTCCATTCTCCTTCCACCGTTCCCCAACACTCCTCTCACTCGCTTCCCTAAAACCAACTCGCCAATGTCTCACTCACCCATGAGGAACGTGAAGGGCCCCCACACGAGCTCGAACACGCCCTGAACCTCCCAGAGCAGGAACACCACGACAAAGCAGATGGCAATCTTCATGCCAATGACAGCGGGCAGCTCGTTGTACTTGCTGTAGATGCCGAGCGCGGCGTAGACCATGACGGTGAAGAGCGTGTGCATGGGGCAGATGTAGTACAGCATGTAGTCGTTTGTGAGCGCCAGACAGCAGAAGAAGACGAGGAAGTTGAGCCGCCACATCATCTGGAAGGGGGGAGAGGGGGTGTGGCGGGCGCAGGGGAGGGTGGCGACAGGGATGGGGGGAAGGGGGGGGCCGGGCGGGAAGAAGGGAGTTAGAAATAAGGGCGGAGAGGGGGGGAGTGGAGGGGGAGGAGTGTGGGGGGGGATGCAAGGGAGAGGGACCGACAGACACGGGGTGGGAGAGGATAGGCTGGAGGATGGGAGCAGGGGGGAAGGGGTTGGGGGAGAGGGAGATTTTGGTGCCAATAATGACAGGGCGCTTGTTGAGTGGGATTTTTTTTTCAAAGCACAAAGGGGAGGAGAGACTAGGAAGGATACAAAGAGGCTTCGCGCCGGGAAAAGGGAAGGGTGGGAGGGAGAAGAGGAGTTGGATTGAAAGGGTGTGTAGGCAGAGCGAGATTCTGGTGGCAATTTACTCGATCAGCTTGCTACGGTTCCCCCTACCCCCTGCCCCTGCCCAGCCCCACCACCCTAGCAACAAAGAAAGAAACAATCTATTACACGTGCCAGGAAGCGGTAGGGACGGCAGGGACGGCAGGAGGGCACAATGGGCAGGGGCGGGGGGCAGGGAGGGGATGGCAGTGAGGAAAAGGCAGGGTAGGCAGGGTAGGCAGGGTTTTGACCTGGCAGAAGCGGCCGAGGCCAAAGTCCTTGCGGACATAGTAGTAGGAGAAGTTGCCGAACCCCGTCATCCACACGTAGGCTGCGATAAAGAGGCGGATGGAGTTGTAGATCTCACGCGCCTCCCAGTAGTGGTACATGAGGAAGATGATCTGCGGGGCAGGGCGGGCAGGGGAGGACAGGGGAGGGCAGGCAGGGGAGGGAGGACAGGTGGGGGAGGACGGGCAGGGAGGACGGGAAGAAGAGGGAGTTAATTTATCTCGCATGCCTCCCAGTAGTGGTACATGAGAAAGATGATCTGTGGGAGAGAGGCGGGGGAGGACGGGTAGGGGAGATCAGGTCGGGAAGGACGGGTAGGGGGGGACGGGTAGGGGGGGATGGGCAGGGGAGGATGGCAAAGGGAGGATGGGCAAGGGAGGATGGGCAAGGGAGAACAGGGGGAGCAGGGAGGTAAAAGTTGAAAGGGGAATAAGGGGGTTCGAGCGACTAATAGAGCAAGCAGGGAAGGCAAGGAGGGTGCGAATTGGGCGAGAGGGAGAGGGTTCAGGGTATTGAATGGTAGCCAAGCGAAGAGGAAGGGGGGAGTGGGGGGGGGGAGTGGGGGGGGGGGGGAGTGGAGGGGAAAGGGAGGGTGACTAACTGACTGTCTTGCAAGACACTGCACGCACGAAAGATGTTGGACGAATGGAACATAATACCAACGATGATCGAGAACGTGGTGGCATATGGATGGAATGGCATGGCATGGCAGCACAACATGGGACGCCCGAAAAAAACCCATTTGGAGGGTGTGTTGAGGGGATGTGAAGGGGGGGAAAGGAGGAAAGAGGGGAGGGGGAGGGGAGGGAGAGGGAGGGGGAGGGGGAGGGGAGGGAGAGGGAGGGGGAGGGGAAAGGGGAGAAGAGGGGAGTTCACGTGGTGTGTGGGGGGAACCGCACCTGCATCCATCCCTTCCACTCCTCCGTCTGGTGGCGGTTGAGGTATTGGATGGGACTTGCCCGTCGCCAGGGACGCGCCCGTGTGCTTCGTTAGCGATGTGAAGAAGCACGTCAGCACCAATAGCGCGTACAGGAAGATGAACAGGTCCCGGCTGTAGTGCTGCCGCGTTGGATGACGGCGGGGGGGGGGGGGATGCAATGGGTACCAAGTGGTACAAAGGGGTGGAGATGGAAAGGGAATGAATATGCAATCAGTATGAATGAAGAATAGGAGCGACTATGTTTGAACATGTGGACGAATTCCACGAGTGAGGGACAAGGGGGGCGTGAAATCAGCAAATCGGCAGAAAAACGTCACAAAGCAAGGGATTTGACGGGTAACCCTACCTTGGTGGATTCGCCGAAGATGTCTGTGCGATCGCAGATGAAGTAGTAAAGAATCAGGCCTCCAAACTCAGCACTGCAAGGCCAACAGAGCGAGAGTCAGCAAGCACTTTGAACCCAGTCACGACCGACGGAATAACTAGAGACTTTGTTTCCCTGTTGTACTTTTTCGTACAGCGAATTAGCAGTTAGTAGGCGCACCGACTCTACTGCGGAAATCGATAAAGGACGCGGAGTAGTCAGTCCGAGGATCGTTCACAGTGACATTATGTGATTGTAAAGCGGGTAAATTGCACTGTGTGAGATTAAAACCTATCTACTTGCTACCAAACGAGAGACGCACATGGCGCGAAGGGTGAGGCGGTTGTCGAGAAGAAACGACTCGTTCATGGTGAGGAACCTGCGGATGGGAGGGAACCAACCAACCAACCAAACCATACAAGCCGCATCATCATCAACGCCAGAAGCACTCAATGTCAGTGTCAGTACCAGCGCTGGCACGAGCGCATGGCAGATGCGCTCTCGCAAACAGCGAGGTGGATTTAAACAACGACGTGAACACACGCTGGGGTGAGAGGAAAAGCGAGAGCGGGAAGGGGAAAGGAGGGAAGGAATCATCCAGATTCTCACATCACAATCGGTCGGTTTCTGTTGAGTCATTCCCTTTCGCACAACCCCCACTAGATCCGTCACATCGATTTTCAATGGCAATTGATCAAACGGGGAAAATTCACACATCCGACTAGGCTATGATTTACTTTTCGCGCTCACCGGACTATGTATTGTCGCACGATGCCGCCGATCGTGGTGGGTGTGGTATTAGCGAGCGCTCTGCTGCTGGGCGTTCCTGGTGACGCATCGACGAGCGGCGTCGACTCCTCGTCTGTAGGCTTCTTCTCGTCATCCGCATGGCTGAAGACGGAAGGGAAAAAGAATGAAGGGAAGAATGAAGGAAAAAAAGAGACGGAAGAAAGTCAGGTCTGGGGTAAAGATGCGAGAATGGAAGGATCTCGAGAATGGATCCATATGCCTTGGGTAAAGACACGCGCCGATTACGATTTCCGGTAGAATTATAAAACGAGAATCGTTTGACATGTGTTCAGCTTTGGGACGTTAGCTGCTGAATAAGAGCAGCAAACGTATCACAACCAGGACCGACTGTCGGCGAAATACAGTCGACACCTTCGCAAAAGTAAAAGCAAACCTGAAGGGAGAGCACGAGAAAGAAATACAGGAAAGGAGGCTACGAACGAGCGCAATTACGGGCAACGATCTCGTGAGTAATCTTAATCTAGGACCAAGGCTAGGCGGGCTTTGATCGATCCCCAATGCTGACATAAACAAGACGAGCAATTCAGGGCGGGATCGCAGCAGCTCGACGTGCGGGTGATCAGAAGCTAATGAGATGAACAAATGAAAACGAGATAAACGGATAGACTCGGTCACGCATCGTGCAGCGAGGACCACAGCTTGCACGCATCACGCCGAGGTGAAGCGGATAAACTTACGCTTTTGGACGACTGGACTTGTTGTATTCGAGATATTCAGCGTAGGCCCAGTAGGACAGCAGTTGAATGTATCCAAGTAGACATGCCACCTGAAGTCCAAATAGAAAAGGTCGCCCAAAGACAGCAGGAGAAAGTGGATTTAAGCGGGGCGAAAAAACTTGGACCGGCAAAGAGACAAGGTTCAGTGCGGAGGCAACACACGATATGAGCAGCAAAATGGCGGGTGGAGCCGAAAGCAAGTCGCGCAACAAGGAAATGAATGTGCGGCCCCAGAAACAGACATGTGTGTTTAGTCTTCAATTCTGACAGTGCAACGGATGAGGTTAGTTTTGCAGCACATAAAAAAGACGAGATCTTTAGGGCGGTGCATTCGCATGTTTAATAGGTAGACGATACTCCAGTCATCGCATTCACCAGGAGTATGTTTGGACCGAGCTCACGCAAAGGATCTAAACAGATGCGCTTAGGACTGACTTATTGAAACGCAGCAAGATAGAGGTCACGTACTTGGGCTGCTGTGATTGGCGTTAACAACTTCATCTTGCCGTCCCAGTCAACGCGCCTTGGAGGGAAGCCACGTGTGCTGACCTTCCTGGTAATACGAAGCTCAACTCGGTGCTAACTTGGAATCGAATAACAATTACGCTAGCTTGACTTGGTCACCTAATCTCCACAGCCTCAACCCCAGGGTGCTCCGCTCTGTGAGCAAAGGAGGCAAACGTTAGGTGGAGGCGACGGGTGAAATGCAATCTGTGATGGCACATGAGGAATGGCCAATGAGTGATTGGTGAATTATGTGTCGTCCCTCAACAACTGTTCTTCACGGTTGCTGCATTCTCCTCCAATTCCTCCAATTCCTCATATGGGAGAGAAGGGTCTCGCTCTGCTTTCTGAGACTTCACCTCTCCCACCAACCCCAATGCGTAATACTCCCGTCCATCCTCAAACTCAGAGCACCTCATCGCATCTCATTCCGCCTTGTCGAAACGCATCAAACCCAGTCTCACCTCTGCCTGCGGCTCCTCGTGGTTTGTCATTGACACCTCGGCTTCGCTAGTCCGTGCGTGGCGGTGGTTGAGTGGACGATCCCACTTGCCTTGAGACCGAGTGTGGCATCCTCCCACACAAGCGGGTTCGGAAATGTGATTCTGTGGCGAACAATGCTTGCCGGGGCTGTGCTTCGACGAGTCGAACCTATATTAGGCTTGAAAGTACACTCAGCTTTCCGAACAAGGCCGGGGACGGGCGTTCTTAACAAGGTTGTTGAGGTATTTCCAGCGTGTGCGAGATCATCGGGATTCGGGAGAACGAATGAGGTCTGGTTTGGACGAGAGGCGCGACGCCGAGGCTTGGTTCGGCAGATTCAGACAATGCCACGCTGATTTTTCGCCTGCCATTGGGGCTTGCAAATGCCTCTGGTGACCTGCGCGGGTGTGCGATGAAGTCGCTCACTTTCGTCACCACATCAAACCATACTTCCTCCCAAGCCTCCGAAGGTTGTGGTAACTGTTGGATTGTGCTTGCAGTCCCTCTGCTCTCATGGGTGCAGCTGTGCTTTCACATTTTGGGCTTCGAGTCGCAGGGTGAAAACTGTTGGGAGACACCCAGGTGTTCGTTACTGGATGATTCAACGGCGACATCTCGTTGCTGAGATACGGTAATGGAGTTACCAACTCTTCAAAACGCAATGAGAACTAGTAAAATCAAAGTGCAAGAACAGCTGTAAAGGTAAACAGACAAAATTATGACTGAAGTAATTAATTTCGCATACTAATCTGCATAAATCACCAAAAAAGGGTACAAATCACTCAAGCATACGTGACATTTTTCAACATGGATCTTTTTTGCATGGTAATAAATCCGTACATTCTTTCGGTGCGTGTGCAATGGCCATTTGGACGTGCCTCACGATGCGGTGTTTACCGCCTTGGTGTGCAACAAACCGGTGTGGTGCACATCATCCATGGAGGCAGCAGGCAAACAGGTGCACCTGCTTACCTTGGTGCAAACCAAACGGATTTATACACTTCTTTGCATTCGCGTCAACAGCTCAGGCGGGCAATCTTTATGCGATTCATCAATTGCACTCGTAGCGTGCGTCCTATTATGGAATACTTTGCTGTTCAAGAGTTATTTACTGCAAATAATGGCTCCAACCATCCTGTTGAAGAGGTCACACGCTCCTTGTGGCGGTGCGTACTGCTGCTCGTATTCGCGAGTAAGACGCACATCCTTCTGCATACATTCGCGAACCAGAGACTCCCATGCGAGTTATAACATCCCCTGTGGCGGCTTCTGTTTATGCCTGCAACAAATTTTGCGGCCTGCATGGTTGTTGTTTCGCACACCCGGGGTTGCTTGGATGTCGGAGTATACGCATGCGGGGTTGTAGAATAGTGCGTTTGCCATGAGTAGGAGGTAGTTCGAGGATGTTAGAGACATGTGTTAGATGTTTGTTGCTTGGAATACTACTCATATTACTATTCCGGAAAATGCTTGACAGTCGGGATTCTCCTTCTTAATGTGCGCGACAAGGCGCGCCTAGTATTCGGCTCCTTGCTTACCCTTCAGCTGTTTCATCTCGTCCGTTGTGAACCAGCGGGCCGCAACGAAGATCGCGTTCTCATGTTTCGACCAGACGCGCGTATCACGCGAAACATCCACCCGCTTCTTCGCCGACCTGCACGGCTTATTGGTCGTTGGAGATTTGCCCTTATCCATCGTGCTGCTCGTGGTCCTGCTAGCATCACGATGGTTTGGCTGCGTCACGGTGAGTCTCTCCATCGTCCGCATTGTCGTCATCTTCTTCGCCGTCGTTGTCGCCATCTTCTTCTTCTTCGTCGTTGTCGCCGTCCGTGCCGACACCATAGTCGTTGAAGTTCAAGTCGTTGTCGTCGTCGTCTTTCCCCGCTTCAGCAATATGTAAAGTCGCCTCTCACGCAAGCGCACGACGCACTCGTGAAGGCTCGGCGCGAGGTGTCTGCGAGGTATTGCCCTCTAGTTGTGAGAGTACGACGGCTTATGACAGCTATGCTTGCTTGCCTTTACTTTATCATGCTATTTCTAGCATGGGATAATTATATGCATGCATGAATTGCTTGATTTCCTAGGCTAGGTGCTTTCCTATATTTTATTATAGTTATAGCACCGAGCTAGGTTGCGTGCACCGAATTCTGGCTTTTCGGTTGCCACCGAATTGCCTTCTACCGAATTCGGGAAGGATCTGTTCGGGACGCTTCGCGACCCGCGGAACCTTCGCGTAACACCTGGTTACGGGGCCTTGTGTCGAGCCTATATATAGCCTCGTGTTGTACCCAGGTGATCATTCAATTACAATTCTCTTTTCTGAGCTCGATCCTAGATCCTCACACTAGTTGTGGTGCGTTTGGCGCGAGATATCCGGCAGGTGCATGTCAAAATGAACAAGAGTGAGGAGCCATAGCTAGGGTTTACCTAGCTAGGCAAGAGAGAAATGAGCAAAGGGGAGTGTTCACTAGCAAGCAGGAGGATACATATAGGAAACCCTAAGGGGTCGTACTCACTACAGAGTACCCCACTGCAGGCTAGACAAACTACATTCTGACACACCCCCATAGTCAAAGTGGGGTATAATCAGCACAGCAAGCAGGTATAGAGTAGGTTCACAAGTGCAAGCAAAGCTAGAGGCATTCACAAAGGGCAAGTGAGGAGGAGGAGGCGGGACTGTAAGAGGAGAGAAGATAGGAGGCGACGGCTGAAGCTGCAGACACACGGGCAACAGGAGCGGCTGGCACAGTGGCTACCGGGACAGCGCCCCGAACTACTGGAGTGACTGGCTCGGCGGCTACGAGGAGCGGGAGGAGCAACGGACCCACGGGCGACAGGCGCAGCAGGCTCTCTGGGCTACCAGGACAGCGCCCCGGACTACAGGTGCTGCGGACGACAAGACGGCAGCCTCCGCTCAACCTCCCCAAACTGTCCCACCCCCTTTTCACACACCCCTTGCTGCACCCCTAGCTCCACTCCCACGTCACCCCCCTTAAACCCTAAACCCTCGGCTCCCACACACCCACCCCCCTCAGCGGCAGCTGCAGCAGTGGGAGACGGAGGAGGAGGAGGAGCTGCAGGTTACCCACACCATGCACCCCCATGCCTGCCACCCCAAACCCTAACGCAGGCAGGCGTGCGGGAAGCAGCAGGGGCGGTTCACGGAGGGAAAGGGAGGCGGCGGGGGGGTCTCCTGGGCGCCACGAAGGAGCAGGGCGCGGGCCCCCCGAGGGCGCCACGGCGGGTGACGGGAGGGGGGCCGTGCACGGGCCCCCGAGGGCGGCTCGACGGGCGACGGAAGGGGCCGCGCGCGGGCCCCCAAGGCGCCGCGACGAGGCGACGGGAGGGGGCGGCGCGCGGGCCCCCAAGGCGTCGCGACGAGGCGACGGGAGGGGGCGACGCGCAGGCCCCCAAGGTGCCGCGACGAGGCGACGGGAGGGGGAGGCGCGCGGGCCCCCGAGGCGCCACGACGGGCGACGGGAGGGAAGGGGCCGCGCGCGGGCCCCCAGGGCGCCGCGACGGGGCGACGGGGGGGGATGGCGCGCGGGCCCCCGAGAGCGCCACGACGGGCGACGGGAGGGGGTGGCGCGCGGGCCTCCGGGGCGCCTCGGCGGACGGTTAAACCGCCACGCGCACCGAGCGCGCGGCGGGCAGAAAAAGCCGCCACGCGCTCCGAGCGCGTGGCGGAAAGAAAATAACACGTCGCGCACCACGGGGCGCGCGACAAACAGAACGACAGCGGAAGCAGTTGGTGGGCCCGTTGAGGTAAGCGGCAGGAACGTGCTCGCTCTAGATACCATGTCAAAATGAACAAGAGTGAGGAGCCATAGCTAGGGTTTACCTAGCTAGGCAAGAGAGAAATGAGCAAAAGGGAGTGTTCACTAGCAAGCAGGAGGATACATATAGGAAACCCTAAGGGGTCGTACTCACTACAGAGTACCCCACTGCAGGCTAGACAAACTACATTCTGACAGTGCACGGTCGCTCGCACCGCGGTCAGCGCTCTTACGCTTACGAGCCATGACGGTCCCTTTATACTCTAAGAACAAGCTAATGCAGAAATCACAATTGCGACTACTGTATGCGGTTGCTGTATGAGGAGGGGGAAGATATGCACAACCTTTGTAAGGTGAAGTTGGGAAGGGGAAGGGGAGCGAGCATTTCATTTTGGCGGTCAAATTGTTTTTTGCCTGATCGAACTTGTTCCATCGTTTTCGTGCTGAAAACGGACTGTGAAGGGACGTTTTGGTTTCGCACGTGTAATTCACATCGTGAGGGGTGGCTAGGTGCATTCCGTGGTGGCCTGAAAGTCAAGCCGCATGCGATGGTTGAACACTGACGGGGCTGAATGCAACTCGTCGGCGACAGTAGCGTGCTTTACGCTAACCAATGTAACATATAGTACAGGTCGCACGCAAGCGCTCTTGTTAGTAGACATGCAGTGTGAGATCCCCGATTGATCCTAGGGGGATTATAGACTGTCAGAGGTGCACTGATGATCCCCGATTGATCCTAGGGAAGGGTTACAGGCACGTTGGCCTGGGGGGTTATGGGCGCACTCACCCGCTACACAAACAAACCCTTTTATCCCAGTGGTTAGTGGCTGGGATTCTGACATGGTATCAGAGCGAAGGTCTCGGGTTCGAATCCCAGTGTGTGCACTTCGGGCATCCCAGTGCGGGGGGGTGTCAGAGGTCCACTGATGATCCCCGATTGATCATAGGGAAGGGTTATAGGC